AAAAATACAAACCTCCCACACGGGAGAACAAAACTCCTAATGGGATAACCGAAACCGAACACTACAACACAGAAAAACACCACAAAGAAGACATACAAAACAAGAACACAACAAATAAATAATACACCTGATACTAGACTATACTAAAGCCCTCCTCCACGACAGACTGATAGCACTGCACCTTCACCACTCGAACCAAGCCCGAGAAGAAATACCTCATAAGAGAGGGTGAGGTAACGGCACATACGGCAATGAGAAGGACCCTAACGTCTTAAAACTCGTACCGGACCGTCAATACCTCCCTCTCCACAGAGACACCACTGCCAGGCCAACACCAGGAGCCCACGCTACTCTCGGCCCCCACACAATCCAGAGAGCTCGCTATCACCCTCCCCGCCAGAGAACCAGTCTCCTTGCACCACGGAGAAGCAGAAAAGGGGAACCAAGACTATCGTCGACCGTAGCCTTTCCACCGCTACACGGCAAAAACGCTGGCTGCTAAGCCACCATTGGGACAAAACCCCGAAACCACCCAAAAACATCATGGCCAGTCGCCCAAGCAGAGACACCGCGTCGTTCGAGAAGAGTGAAGGCCGCCCTTGGAGGAATCGCGATCCCGATGACGGTCTAACTGCGAAGGTGCTGCGCCTCCGCCGAAAGGAGGCGCCTCTGGATCTGGCTTGGGACTAAGGGTTTGGGGAAGAGAGAGAAAATTCTTTTGAATGTTTAAGAGGAAATAAGTTTAGTTCCCTCATTCTTCTATTTCGTAGCCTCTTTTGGTTATGTTTCCAAATTGTAATCAGTTGGTTGCATGTTTGTTGTACATTTTTGTTTGAGTTTTTATATATTGTTTTGTTTGATATTTGAAAAAAAAAAGCTCATTTTGCAAAGTATAATATATCACTGAAAAATAATTTTAGAAAGAAAATAAATATCAAGTCAAAATCACCATGCACAAGATATTTGGACCCGTTAGGCCGACTGAATAATTGTGTTATGAGAGAAGTTATGTCTCTGGTTAGTACTTGTTAGTGTTAGAAATATTTAATATATGGTCATTACTAACGGTTTTGCTATGAAGCCAGCAGTTGGCTCCATAGTGGAGCCAACCTTTTATATACAACAAGTAAACCTACCATATTAATAAAATTATATTAGTGTTATTTAAGTAATCAGGGAACATGGTAGGTTTACTTGTTGTATATAGAAGGTTGGCTCCACTATGGAGCCAACCGTTGACTTCATAGTAAAACCGCATTACTAAAATAAAAAATTAGGCCTGAAGCCCATTGGCTAGGTAGATTAGGCCTTATGTTTATCTCTATTGTAAATTCTATAAAAGAGAAAATACTGATGAATGATCGTATTCATATTCAACAAAAGAGAAGAACCGGTGCGCCATCGTCTCTGCGAACCACAAAAAAAACCCATCGTCTCTCCATAATCTTGCCTCCGCCGGTGATGTCGAGGTCAGAATCGTAGCCTCCATCGACTAACCGGCCCTCCCTTGCTGCTATTTCCTTCTCCTAGCTGAGGTACGGCAGTTTCTTGCTCCAACCCTAGGTGGTCGACGGGTCAAATTGGGATGGGGCTTTCTCAATCGGGGCTTGGGTGGCT